AGCCCCCAGCACCCGACACCGCCCGGCCCCAGGCCGCCCTGCGCGCGCGACGGTCTCGGGCGGCGCCGCCGTGCAGCACGCTGGGAGTTGTAGTCCGTGCCGCGCGGCCCCGGAGGAGACTGGTGGGCTCTGCCTGGGCCCTCCCTTCCCCCGGGCGTCCGGACGTGGGGGAGAGCACCCCCATCTGCACCGTCAGCCGAGAATCCGGAGCTCGCGCCCACGCCGGGAAGAGTTTAACAAAGGCCCAGCGCCACGCCTAGAAGAGCGCTAAAAGGGCGGTTTCAGGCAGCGAGGTGAGCTGGGAGGCAGGTCCCATTAGCCGGCTCTGTGGCGCAATGGATAGCGCATTGGACTTCTAGCCGAGCCTGGTGTGGTCATTCAAAGGTTGTGGGTTCGAGTCCCACTAGAGTCGAGTTTTGACAGCTCCCTCCCTCACTTCCCATTGGGATATTTTACGGCCTCCAGTACCTTTATAAGGTTCAGAACGAAGAACCGCAGCTCCTGCAGACCTGAAGCTGTTGCATCCAGCAGGCTTGACATCTCTGCACCCCACCCTGCTTCTCTACAGCAATAAACTTAAACTTGGCGTCTGGGTTACTACGTAGAAATCTTTCTCATCCATGGTATCTTGTAAGCAGCCCAGCACATCTGTTGGTACAAAGGGCACGGATTTGGAGGCCCTTAGTTAACTTCCTCCTCTGATCACTCTGAACCTTGCTGTAAATCAGTCAACCTATAAACCTATGGCCTTATTTGTCATGCCACCTGGCGAGCCAGAGGCAATCGGCCAGATTCCCAGCCCCTTGGGGGCTCTGGGCCTCTGAAAGCTTGGTTCCTTGATAACCAAACATGTTGGGCATCCACAGTTGCCGCTGCTCCTTAAATAGATCTCTTAATCCCTTAGTCCAGTAGAAATCTTTAAAAGGGGGGAAGGGCAGTTTTCAGGGTCTATTTATAGGTTTTAAAGATGAAATTTTATTCAGATCCCGGAACCAGCCAGCCACCAAAAAATAATAAAAATAAAAAAATAAAGATGAAATTTTAGCCTGATAAGGATTTGGACCTATATCTTCTGGAGTATGGAGTGCCTCCTTTTGTGAAACCTGGGCAAATTCAATTAACACCTCCTCCATGGGTATCACATTCAGGGGGCAATAGTGCAGTGGTTATGGGCATGGGCATTGGCATTCAATAGACTTGGGTTCAACTTCTCGTTGACAGTTCCAAGTCTCAGTTTCTTATATATAAAAATCGGGACACACTCATAGTGCTTACCTCATAGGGTTGGTATGGAGATTCATAGGGAGCATTTGAAGTAGTGCTTGACATATTTATTATTGTAGCTTATAGGCTCATTGAGCACAAAGCACATACAAGATCAGAATCTAGACATGAAGATTATGTCTGATTGTGTCCACAGGGCTAATAGAAGCTCAATAAATGTTTGTTGAATGAATGAAAGGGAGAGTGAATTGCAGGATCTGACTTCATCCACACCAGGATCCATAGGTATAAACATGATTATTTCCACATCGACTGCTGAAGTTGTATGCAAAATGGGCCAGGTGAGAGTTTGGGGGAGGGTGCTGGTGACCAGCCATCTGCTCTCTTCCACCCAGGCTTGTTACACTGGTGAGCCAAGGCAGTAACCCACCAGACACTGGGCCAGGCCTGGGGGAGAAGCAAAAGGACATAGAGGGAACAAAACAGTCTGCCTTCAACTTACTTACTGTCTAGCTGGACAGAGAGGGCGGAAGGAGATGAGACTAGAATAGGTTGTCCCTCACCAAGTGCTCATGTACTTCTGGCGTAACACTCACTGCACAGAATTGTGATTATTTATTTAACCGTTTTAGCTTTCTAGTCAGAAACAGCTGGGGTGCACTCTCAGGCCCGCTGTAAGACTTTGAGCAAGTCACCTCTCCCCATGGAGCCTCGGTGTCCTCACCTGCTGAATGGCAATACAGTCATCAACGGCACCTGCCTTCTGGGACTGAGCAAGGATTCAGGGAGGTGATGCACATCAAGCTATCAGCTCAGGGCTGGCACAAGAAAGGCCCTCAGCTGGCATAACTGCTCAACTCCAGGAGGGCAGGGATGGAGCTGTCTTGATCATTGCTGAACCTCCAGCATCTGCCTTCAGCAAAGGCTCAGAAGATATCAGTGAAATGATTGAAGACTAGTGGGCTTGTGCATTACATTAGGATACATGGGGAGGGGAGGGCCATATGGTGATAAAAGTGATTGGAAAGGCCTTTGTCTGCCAAACTGAGGAGTTTATCCCAGGGCAACCATCAAGGGGGTTCTCATCAGGAGAACCATCAAGGGTCTCTAAGAAGGGCAGGGGCTGAGTACTGTTGTTTGTGGGACAGGCCTAGCTTAGGCTGATTTCACAGTGGGATCCCTGCCACTGACCTGTCCCCCATCTCCACTGCATTAGGAAATGAGTGTCAGTGCTGAAATCTCCAGACTTACTAGAAGCTGGCATTTGGACACACATGAAAGAGTTTAGGCACCCCAGGGCACTAAAGTGGTTTGGCCACTGTCACAGAGTAGGTGTCTACCCTGTAGATATGCCAGTTCCAGTTGGCATTAGAACCTCTGAGCTCTAGAAGTCCTCCCACTCTGGGCATGTGCATCACCTCCCTCAATCCTTGCTCAGTCCCAGAAGGCAGGAGCCATGATGACTGTATTGCCACATATAATACATGGCTTGACTCTGTACATGGTGACTTCAGAGGCCTTGAAAGGCCTTCCTGGCAAATAACACCTTCCATTTCCTAAGTGCTTATGGTGTACTAATAAAGCACTAACTATGCATCATTTTACTAAGCCTCACAACGGCCCTGCTCTGAAGTAGGTATACTATGTCCCCATTTTACAGATGAGAAAACAGGCTGAAAGGGGTGATGTGACTACTGCAAGTGCACAAAGCTGGTCAGTGGCAGGGCCAGGTCTGTCTGCCTTCAGAGCCCGGGCCCTCAAACACTGTTCTGAGGTCAGCTATATATGGTTTTTATCAAGCAAAGGGAAAGGGGGCTTTCTCTTGGCTATTAGGAGAGAACTCAAGACCTGGCTGTCCCACACTGGGATCTACCACAGCTCAGCTGTGATCCTAGGAGACTCATTGAACCCAAGACCCGGGGTCTTCATCATAAGGTGAGGCTACCATTGGGGACCGAATGAAATCTCACATGTAGGGTGTTCAGCACAGGGTTTGGTATCCATTTCTTCAACAATGAAATACCAAACCCCTATTATGTGTCAAGCACTGTTCACAACAGGAAAGGAAAAGGGCAAGGTACCTGCCCTCCTGGGGCAGACACGGAACTCATAAGTAATGAAATAACATCATTTCAGAGTTGGTAAGGGCTCAAAAGAAAATAAGGTGGGACTGGCTAGTTAGCTCAACTGGAGTGCAGCCTCATAACCCTAAGGTCACAGGCTGAGATCCCTATACTGGCCAGCTGAAAAAAAAAAAGAAGGTGATGGCATGGAGTGAGGGGTGAGGGACTGCTTCAGATGGTGTGGTCAGGGAAGGCCTCTTGAAGGAAGTGACATTGAAGCAGAGATGTGAATGACAAGGAGCTGACCATGTAATGATCTGGGGACAGAATGCTGTTGCCAAATGCAGGAAGAAGCCTGGTATATTCAGAAGGCAGGATGGATGGATGGTTAGTTCGGTTGGTCAGAGTGTGGTATAATACCAAGGTAAAGGTAGCTGTCAGAAAAAAAGCAGGATGAAGGCAAGTTTAGTGTATTGAGATAGGAGAATGTAAGTCTCTAGGCAGAAGTCGGCAGGGCATCACAGGCTTTGGTAAGAACTCAGTAAGTGGTAACTATTGCCAGTATAATTTTTCTTCAATTGTGACACAAATGCCACTCTATGAGCAGGAGACAAGACCCTATTCCCAGCTAATCCTCATGCCCAGTACCCATCCCACAAGTGCTGTAAAGGCCCAGGGTCATCTAGGCACCAACAGGCTGGAGCAGGTGAGCTACCCAGCTGGGCACCTGAGTCTGACCTCCCCTTGCTGCCTGGCACCATTGACTTACTGAGCTGTGGTGGGGATGCGTGGGATCCCGGGAAGATGTGGAAACAGCTGGCAGGTCTGGAAAGGTGGCCTAGAGTACAGATTGATGAGGTACAGGGAACTGACCCCCATTGTCTCCCCTTTCTGCAGAAATTCAAGGAGCTCAGGATGGAGATTCCCTCTCGAAAAGCCCATGGTTCCGAGGTGGGCCTTCAGCCTCCCAAACCTTCCCTCTGCCCCTGGAATCCCTGAACTGGATGTGGTGGGCATAGGGAAGGCTGGGGCCCTGGTGTGGCAGGTCTGGGCAGGTCATCATAGGGCTTTCTGGGCAGGTCTTTGGACAACCCCCGGTTCCAGCCCCAGCTGTTTCTATTGCCTCATTAGTAAAACACAAGCAAGAGTACCACCTCTCTCCTTGGGTGGTGGCCTTGAGGTGTCAATGCAATAATGCTTCTCACGTGCTTGGCATTGCCTGGCACATAGTATGGTTGTAAATGAACTGTAGCCATAATTATAGATAGGGAAACTGAGGCATAGGAAAACCAACCAGGAGGACTGCAGCCCATGTTCTACTCAAGGCAATTCCTTGCTTACCTCTGGCTTCAATTAACCTATCCACACAATGAGGAGTTGGCCCTGAAAAACTTAAAGGCTCTGCCATCTTGGGAGTTTTTCTGGTTCTAAATCCCAAGACAAAGGGCCAACCCGTGGCTCACTTGGGAGAGTGCGGTGCTGATAACACCAAGGTCACGGGTTCAGATCCCTACATAGGGATGGCTGGTTAGCTCACTTGGGAGAGCGTGGTGTTGACAACACCAAGTCAAGGGTTAAGATCCCCTTACCGGTCATCTTCTTAATAAATAAATAAACCCCAAGACAGGGCCATCCATTCTTCCAATGATACTTTTCATCTT